GTTTATGTCCTTTCGCTATCACCATTACCTTCATATAATCATGTAAGTTTATTATTTTTACTTTTAGTACTAACCTTTTTTATTCTAGTTTTAGTGTTAAGGCTTTTAATTCATATGCCTTGAGTTTAATAATGTAGTATAGTATTTACCTTCAGTTTTTTGAATTAAACAGAAAGATGAAATTCATATCCTCTCGTCATTGCCGTTACTATCATATGACTATGTAATTTATTTAGTTTACTTTTACTTCATTTCTTTCTTATTATTTTGAGCTTACAAGTCACTTATATAATTCTTTTGTTTTTTTTTCTTGAACTTAAGCAGAAAAATGAAATTCATATTACTTCGTCATTGTTATCATCACATAACCACGTAATTTTTATTTTAGTTCTAGCAAAAATCTTTTAATTGCACTATATTTTTATGCATTGCACTTATATATATATATATATTTTTCTTTTTTTCTTTTAAAAAGATTAGCAAGATATTTTCTTGCTATTGTCTTTACAACTACATAGCCATGTAATTTTTATTTTATTAAATCTTTATTAATTGTTCCTTTTTTTAGCCGGTTATCTTAAGCAATTTTTTTTTTGACATGCAGGAGTTTGATTTGATGTCCTTTAATGCTAATGAAACTTGTGACAGTGAACCAGAAGATACTCATAACTTATCGGATTCGTTAGAATTAATAGTTGGGCTCACTTTTCAAAACTAGGAAGAGTTCAAAACTTGGCTTCATAGATATGCATTAAAAGAAGGCTTCAGCTACAAAATTAGAACAAGCAAGTTTGACCAAGATGTGATATGACAAGTCATATATGAATATACTAAATCAGGTGAACACAACCCGCAACAAACGATAGATCCAACTAAACATTATAAATTCTCTTCTCAAAAAATTAGATGCCCTTGGAAATTGAATGTATCTTACCAAAAAGCAGCTAATTGTGTTAAAATTAATTTATTTAACAATAATCATAGCCATACTTGTACTTCTATGATTAATCAAATTGCTCTGCAATTTCACAAGCTAACACCTGAAATGTTAGCCAATATTAAAAAATATATAACTCAGGGTAGACTAGATTCTGCATCAATATATCCTTTAATAAAACATAACTATCCAATACATCCACTACAAAAACAAGATTTGTATAATACTGTTTATACTATTTGGAAGAATAATAATCCTGGAGATATAGATGTGTTCTTGATGTTTCAAACATTGCTAACTTGAAAGGAATCAAATCCATTATGGATTGTAAAACCTCGCTTAGATCTTATTTTCAGAAAATTAAATTCATTGTTTTGGATATCACTATCGCAGAGATCTCTATATGAAACATTTCATGACATAGTATTTATTAATACTACCTCGAATACAAATCAGTTTCAAATGATATTGTGTGTTGTTATTGTAATCAATAATTATTATAGGACAAGAATTATAGCATGTGGTGTTATTGAAGATAAAACATTGAAAACATTTCAGTAGATTTATAAAATATTATTAGAAAAAACTGGTATTATTCCCACAACAATATTTAGTGATAATAATCTCGCCATTATAAGTACACTAAACTGTATATATCCTACCACCTATCACATGTTATATATAGTATATTTTATATTGACCTAAATCTTAAAAAAAAGTTAAAAGGCAAGCTAGGTTCTTGTTTTGAAACATTCTGATCAAGCTTTTATTGTTGTCGCAATAGTTTATATAAAGATCTTTTTGAAGATCGATAGAAGGAATTGTTAAATGACTATCCAATAGCTGAAAAGTATTTAAATGAGACTCTTTATAGCACTAAAAAATCATAGGTAACTCCTTGAATTAATAATAAGTTTACAGGAAGTGCACAAAGCACCCAAAGGATTGAATCAGTTAATTCACATATACATTGGAAGATTAATAGGTCAACTTCCTTATATGATCTATTAATAGGTCTCAATGATTATATTAGTCATGATGAACATTTGATGAAATTTGAAATAGAATATAATGCTATTTCAACCATTGGATTGCTGATATTGAATAACTGTTTCTTTTTAAAGTTGATAAAATATTAGAAAAATATCTCACACATAATATACTTAATAAACAAAGAGATCAAATAAATGTAAGTGTATGTTATAATATTTGTCAGTTTATGAATAGCAAAATTTAATTAAGATAAATTATATGCTCTTATATTTATTTTCCAGAGGTCCATCTGTCAACACACGTGATCAATCATTTTTTAATTCGCTCTGAATTTACAACGGTATCTGTTTTCTTAATGCTAATATAGTTTTATTTTATAGACTGATATGAATAGTTCAGAAATTAGACTTTGGATTAGATAACAGGACATACTGGTCGAAATTTTTTAATATAAAAGGCCGATATTTGGAAGATAGCTAGGTGAAACATCTAAAAACAAACATTCG